TTCAACGGACCAGACTTATAACATCATCGACTGACAAACACTATTCACTTGACTCTGAAGATGACTTCCGCTCAGGTTGTCGAAACGTCAGTCACCACCAACAGTTCTTTTCAAAACTACACTCACCCGGACGATCACACTATACGAACAATTAGCCCTCTAGTTTACCTCAAATCTTCCCACAACAATAGGGTGAGACATGTCATTTTGGGGCAGCTTTATGTTGCCATGGTAACCACATTTTGATGGCTTGTGATTTGTTTATCTTTGTTTCTCTAGTTTGGTTATACGCACAGACAGCCCAAGCTCCAGCTGTGAGACAATCGTCTTGCGTAATAGCGGTCTTGGCGAAAATATAAAAGTTTGTATAAGAATACTTACGATCCCTTTGCGGAATTGAACTAAACTCAAGAAAAATGCCTGACCTTACGTCCACAGTGTTTCGCGTTATCGCTTCCTAGCTTGGTTTCGTACCCCTAAATGATAATTAAAATCTTGTACTTTCCCCTTATGTTTTCTAGTGTTAATTCTACACCCATAAAACAATAGGCTGGACACAGGATTACTCATGTTTTATACTCTTAATTAGATAAAAATCACTTACAGAGAACGAAGATATGTCAATGTGGCAAATACTCCGTCAGGGAGAAAAGTGATACCGCATGAAGGCAATTCTCTGCGATTGATGGATTGATTGATAAATTTAGTCAGTGAAGAGAACTTAGTTGATTGATTTCAAAGAAAGAGAGTTTTACCTATTGTAGCTATAGTTTAGTGGAGGGAGCCTGGCCGAGTGGTCAGGGCACCCGACTTCAAGATACAAGTCCCGCTCTGACCACTAAGCTGGAGTTGTTTCTCGCGAAGGGGTGGGGGGGCTTTCTCGGTAGACTCCAGTTCAACTTCCCGCCACGCTCGTTGGGATTGTTAAGCCTATTGGTATTTGAAATATTTGTTCCGCTCAGGTTAAGCGACATGCCTATGAACTAGCTAGGTGAAGCTGGGCGTATTGGCCATTAAAAATATTCAATATTTAACATTTAACATTTTAAGACGAAATCCGACAGAAAATTTAGCTTTTAGTGGACAAAAATCAGTACCAGAATAATTCTAAGTATTTTACAGTCCTTTTTACATTTTAAAGATATAAATAATTACCTGAAATAACACCAAAAACAATTCCCTATGGGAACGAGAGAAAATAAATTTCAAAGTTCAGAAGAATTGTGCAAACACAAGTAAAATTTCATCATCAGTTTCATTTCACCAGTACTTTCAAGTGTTTCATACGAAGTCAACATTTGTTTTCGACGTTTGGTGTTGCTAGAAATGATTTTTTTTTTTGAGAAGATATTTAAAACAGTCACACAGAAGTTTGCAATATGATGTAAAAAATATTGGTACTAGATTTTTGTCCACTTGTTACTCAAACTTCCAGTGGATTCCGTCTTAACATCTTCTGGTGTTCCTCCTGCATAGGCTTCACAACAGTCTTACGGATTCCAATATATAAGAACAGTGATTTTTAAGCTTCTCGATATAGTCCCGAATACGTGAAACGGCTTAAGGGAACCGAGAGAACACGCTCTATGTATCAAATTTTTATAGTTAACACAGGCTTGGAATGGATTATTTTTTACTTCAAAGGAGAGGATACTAGGTGAGGATTAAACGAGAAACATCCTGCAGGTGGATTGATTTGTTCAATAAGTATATTTCTTTCCCCATACGACACCAAACTGTGGAAAGAACAAAAAAAATACTGCGAAAAAGTCTCCTAGAAATTGTTTTCACTAAGAGAGGATTCTCTCCAGGTCTCTAATAATTACCAAGAATTCAAGCACAAGTTGTTCAAAAGTTATTCAAAGGCTTTGATCAATTTGGTGAACTCTCCGCATCTCTTCACGGATTGCTGGAAAATCGGCAAGCACTTAGGTCACGAAACTACGTTTCTTAATTGTACGTGTGAACCACTGCAAATACGCAACCGCTTTATAACCTTTTAACAGGCTGTATTAATAATAAATTATCAATGGACAGATGTATGGAGAAAACTGAAAGCGGATCCAGAGATTTTTTATTTGTGTTGGGGAGGGGGCTCCTTGTACTCAAGAAACACTGTTGAAAAGTGTTTTTACTAATAATACTACCTGACCAATGTCAAGATAATGATGCCAGAGCATTCGAGCAAGTCTTGACAACCATAATGCCTTTGAGATATGGTTTGTCTCATTAGGAGCCTTACATGACTCCGCTAGAGCAGAAAGGACAGTTGTGTACACTCACATAAAAGCAAAACTTGTACGATCAGGTGCTCATTTTTTGCACGTTTTACCCTATTCAGACTAGTAAAGGGAGTGAGGAGTTTAAAGAAGTTCCCTCAGACCTATTTGGAACCAAATTTGTGTGGCATATATCATCAGTCAAGGGTCTGCAACAATATTTTGACAGACATGTTTTTCAATTTTATTTTATCATTATTATCATTATTATTATTATTATTATTATTATTATTATTATCATTATTCATTTATTTATTTATTTACATTTTGCATTTAATGGCTTTATTACAGTATCTTTTACTTTTTAAGCTAATTATAGATTTCGTTGTAGGTTTTGATAATTTTCATGCGCTTTTTGACGTTTGTCTTACGTTTAAAAAATTATTCCGAACTGATGGCGTCATTTCTAAGTTATATGTGAAGTCATTGTTCAATGTAACACGATTTCAATAGTTTGAATGTCTTATATATCCTGCAAGTTTCATTGCCATGGCTTTAATGCTGTAAGAGATACAGGCTGAGCCTCAGAAGCCCTCCCCCCATCCCCGTACCAGTTGACCAAAATTAGGTTTAACACGCTTAATAAGATTTCCCGACAGCGGCGACTTTAGTGCAGGCTACAATCCCGGACAAAAGTAGTTGGGACAGTTGAGCTAGATCACCTATCCCCAATCCCCCCTAATCAATGTCGAAAAACGTTGCGGTTTTTTTTCAACAAAAAGGAAAAAATCTCCTGATTATCAACATTGTAAGTGGGGGGAGGGGAGAACTTGCTTGGTGTCCCAACTTTTTTGTCTGGGATTGTGGCTCTGTTTCTGAAGAAGTATTTTCGTTCCATTCCTTTTGGAATGAACGAGGGCAGGGGTGGAGGGGAGAGGCACACTTCGCGGACCCTACCCCAAGACCTGAGTTATTCATTATACATATTTTTTCTTATATTTATTTACCCCTGGATCCGCCATTGCAAAGAAATTACACTCACAGAGTCTCCAGATTTGAGAATTTAGAGAATACTTCAACTGTAAGATTTGAAAGATTGCTTGAAGAGATATACCTACCAGGAGAAAAAAAAGCACTTAGATTGAAAACAATTAGATTTAAAAGACTCTTTTGGGCTATTCGCATTTAATTTCTTCCTGCTTCTACAATATGCCTCGATGGTTTCTCTCCTCCAGCAAAGGGGATAAAGAGGGAGGGAGGGAGGGAGGGGAGGGAAAGAGAAGTGATAAAACCTTGTCGGTAATCTTAGTAATAATCAATGCATGTCAGTATGGGCGTGAAAATAAGAGCCCGATAAATTTACCTTATCCCATCAGACCAAATTTCCGAACTGATCAGCTAATTTCAGTGGTACCCCGACGGTATCCCGCTAGATCTTTGTACGATATTGACGTGGATAGTTACAACAGTGTTCCCTTTTGGACATTAAACAGGCCGAAGCCAAATTAATTTATAGGGAGAGCCCCTGCTGGTTCCAATAAGTGCACTTTACAGTATACTCCTTTCCTCAGAACAAAATTAACCTAGCTAATAACAGTAGTAACTATGGACCTATGGCAATTAGTGCCCTGTCATCGCCTGTGTATTCAGTATATTTAAGATCGGTCACGAAGATCGATTCTGAGTTATGAGCTCATAAAGCTAAAATTATTGTTGTCTAAATGGGTTATTATGTTGCTATGGTAACCTTTCCAGTTACAAAATAGGCCATAATTTGTTCACCAATGATTGGATATTGTTTGATATTATTATTGTGACACTGACTAAATAGGCGAGGGGTAGCATTGATCCCTCAAAGAAGATTAGTTGAAAAATGCTGGAAGCCGTTATGAGTCACCTTTATAATATCTCTTTGAAGATCATTCAGTGACGGAAAAAGGAGAAGTAACGTATAAAAATAGCAAAAGGGGGAATAACTTACATATAATGCGTCATTTTTGGTACACAATAATTTACTTCCCTGGATGATGTGAAATTGCTGCAGTAGATGATGTTTGATATTGCATTTTTGTAAACTTTAGGAAGACACCGATTTCCGCAATCTAAATGGTACAAAAATAAATTTACATCTATGTGTAAGCAAAGATCACTAGCTATATTTATGAACTAGCAAATATGGGCTAACACGTATACGACTGAGTATATAATAATAATTATAATGATAATAATTATAATAATAATAATAGTAATAATAATAATAATAACAATAATAATAATGAATTTTTTCGAAATCTAATAGTAATTTTATTTGCAAATCATCCAATAGTAGCAAAACGATAAAACATTGAAAAAACTAAAACAAAAATTAATAATAATAATAACAACAACAATAATAATAATGATGATGATGATGATGATGACGATAGTATTATATTTTATAGTTATGCAACGCTTTCGAGTGGCACACCGTAGAATATCCCAGGAGTCACTTTAATTTCCTTGGTATACCAAGAAAATATTAATACAAGTAACAAGTGGGATATTCTATGTTATTAAAACTAGATCATTGGACAATGCAATTCGAGAGTGGCTGAGCCATCTTGTGTTATGAGCCATTTTACCAAGCTCTACGAATTTTGTAAGCGTATGCGTGATTTTTGGGGGGCGTTTCTATTCTTATCTTAACTTCGTTTTCAATATTTTGGGAACGTTTTCAATAAAACAAGTATTCCACTCGCGCTTGTTGGATGTGAGATGATTATAGCCAACTTGGCGCTACACGCCTTATTGGCTATCTACCATCTCATATCCAACGCGCGCTCGTTTGTAAGCGTATGCGTGATTTTTGGGGGGCGTTTCTAGTCTTATCTTAGCTTCGTTTTCAATATTTTGGGAACGTTTTCAATAAAACAAGTATTCCACTCGCGCTTGTTGGATGTGAGATGATTATAGCCAACTTGGCGCTCCACGCCTTGTTGGCTATCTACCATCTCATATCCAACGCGCGCTCCTAGAACAATTGTTAAGTACACCGAGAGAGATAGTGTTGCATAACTATTTTATACCATGCTATAGAAAATACCTTGGTCAACGCAATCAATGCGACATACGCGCGGCGCATGACGGGAAGCTTGGAAGAAATACTGTCGAATATACAACGGCTTTCCTGTATTCTGATTGGTTGTATTTTCTTTGGCGTGGTATAAAAACATGTATGATAATCTTAAACATGGTTAAAACAGTCTGTGCTGGACCAAGTGTTCCATGCACTGGAGCTTATCCCGATTTGGGTAGCGTTGAGCGACTAAGAGTATTTCTACTCCCCTGTTGATGGGATGTTAGTCCATCACAGAGTTACCCCAGCAATAAATTCTCCGGTGCCCGTTCATACAACTGGGCGGAGAGAGGCACTGAGAGAGTAAAGAACACAACGCATCGAATCCGGTCAGAGCTCAAAACCAGACAGCTCGATCTGGAGTCCAGCGAGCTGTCCATCAGAACACTAGAGCATAGTATGAGTCAACTATCAAGTACGGCAATCGAGAGCGAATGACCTTATCTTTTTAGTACTAATCTAGTAGTCATTAAACACTTATCTATTTTCTCTTGACAGACACTTAAAAGACGCAAAGAAGCCGCTGCCATTTTGTCAACAACTACAAACTACCAGGCTACTCGCCATTTACAACAGAATAGATAGTGAGTAGCGAGAGAACGGCATTCGTGATAGAACGCTAGTGAACTTGTACTAACATTCGATAGAAATCAAGGAGCTTGCAGTGATAACTCCTGGCAATAGCAAAACCATGGCATATTTAACTCTTCACGTCACTATCCTTTACATATATACCATCAGAATTGCATATATCAGTATCTGAGATTGTTTATCTCACAGTTCTCACCTATGAAAATGACTTTAAACTCTCTGACGTCTGTTCCATACGTGCTGCTGGCCACGCAAGCGTACTTTCCTTCCTCGAATGATTGGATATCTTCAACATATTTGTTGGTCGTGTTTGTTAGTGTTGTAGAGTTCCTTACTAATGCTATGTACACGGGGGGAGTTCCAGTAGCCGAGCAAGTGGAGATAATGTAGCCAGGTAAAGTTCGCACAACACGAGATGATAGCATGACTTTGGGCTCTATTCAAAACAGGAACACAAAATAGAGAACGGTCTTAAGATGTAAATTGGACTATCCGTAGAGATCGCCGAATATTTTGGCCGTGTAGTATTTATACCTAATCGTACTTTTTTGCTACACTTCGCCCAGGCGAGTTTGGTCGAGCAATTGTTCGTATTCAAAATACCCATGGTGAGGCCAAACGAACCTGATTTGCAGCCGAAGCGTAGCAAAATGGTACGATTAGGTATTTACCGTAACCCAATTCGGCCAAATGACCATTACATCGTAGCCATATCAGGTCAGTGTCTTGATATCGCAGGATATCAGGACAGTAGACACGGCTTCTGATTGGCTAATTACGAATTTCGGTACGCTAATGGATGAAACCTGTGGTTATTTGGTCACATAATGTCAAATGCATAGGATGCTTTCCATTCAACCAAAAGTTCTGGATTGCATTTCCGGAAATTTCCAGTGGCGAATGGAATAGCATTTTCTGGAATTTCTCTTAAAAAAAAGACTATCTTTCGAGGTATTCCGAATTTTTCGGAAATTTATTACCGGGAATTTCCGATCCATTTGACTTTCCTCCCGGAATTTCCGGAATTTTCGGAAATTCAACAATTTCCAGATTCTCTAGAAACTTTCCCAGTAAATGTCCTTACCATTTTTCCGCGTTTCTAAATTTTTGGTTGAACGGAAAGCGGCCATGCATTGATAATCCGCTAGCTCATTATCAGTACTGTCAAACATCGAAGCTTTACTTACTGGCAGGCGCAGTGGTGAAAAGTATCAGAAAGCCTCTTTCTTCAACACTATCGTCTGAATGGAATTTTATCACTGCGTAGTTTCCCGATACAAAAACCGTTTTTCCAGTCTTCAATCCACAGTACACACCAAATGTTTCCTTCTTCTCATTCAGAATCATTAAATAGTCATGGCTAAAACAAACAAACAAACAAACAAACAAACAACACATGTGAAACAATGGACATGTCAAGCTCTTTATGTAGTTTCTTAGGCCTCGGCCACACTACGCCGGAAAAGTTTCACTCTGAAAACGCACCAAATGTTTTCCTTCCACACTACATCGTAGGAAGAATCAGCAACCATTTTGGATTTGTGTTTCAGTAAATCTCGGGCAGGGACTATCATGGTTATCGTAACCTTATCGTTTTCGAAAAGTTTCATTTTCAAAATGTTTCTGTGCCGCGACTAAAACACAAAGCGGGCGTTTTCAAATTCCTTTGGTTTAAAGAGCGTTTTCGAAAAGCTCCGTTTTCGTGACGGATTAGTGTGGACGGAATAACCGGAGAAATAAAGCAGCTGCGTTTTCAAATTGCTCCGGTGTAGTGTGGACGGGGCCTAAGAAATTTACGGACAATGGAACACTAGAAACAGGATAAATTCCAAGAATATATATATATAAAAACACATATCAGTCTATTATTATTCTAATATTTATTTCCTTTAATCTTTTACCACCTTTATTGATTTACTTTTGCGAGAGTGCAATTTCCTTTTAGCGTTACTTTTGCACTTAAGATGTACTAATTGTTAAAGTGTGTAAAATAACAATGATAAAATATGTACATGATGCCGTTTCTTACTTGCATGAGGAATTATCTTCTTGCAGTTGGAAATCGTGAAAGTAAACATTTAACTGCCAATCTTGTGGGATAGGAACCGAATAAAGACAGTCTATGCTGCTCGGGTAGTTGCTTTGATATCCAGGACTTTTCAGCGAGTCAAAAGCCACTGAGCCGCAGGCTAAAAGACAAAATATTAGTCTCAAACTCATTAATAATTCATCAAAGGTAATCATGATCGCGACGGAGTTTGAACATCCGGTTTTAATCAGCAGGGATTTTTTACGATTTCATTTTCCCCTTTTCTCCTCAGTTTTAGTTCCGATTGAGAAGATATGTCAAACAGCCAAGACAGTGTTTGACCAGATTTCCAAAAACTTCGAAGTTCGTTAAAAATACTAGTCTACGCGTCGTATTTTCAACTCTCTTCTCGGTAGTTGGAAATGTGGTCAAACACGGTCTTTCGTGTTTGAAATATAACTTCTTGAACTATTTTGTCAATCACATGTTAAACCCAGTGGAAGTTAAGACCGCATTGGACATCAACAATCAAATACTCTAAAGGCTGATAAACAGGTTTCCTGCACCAAGTTCATGCAAATCGAAGAAAGATTGTTCTTTTTAATTCAGAGAGATGAGGTTATTTTTAAGTTAATAACATAATTTAGTCATGCACTTTTTTGGGGAGTTCATTTTTATCACTGTTCAAGAAGAATCTTTTCAATAGTCATTGCCTCTACTTAAAAGCGTCGCGCTATATTCGGATTAGACTTACACAGTGAAACAAAAGTGAAAAGAATCAAGTATCCCCTTTCTTCTTGCCAGAAGTCTGAGTGGAATGTTACCACTATGTGACTTCCAGTAACATCAACGGTACGCCCAGTCTGCTCACCGCAATACACACCAACTGTTGTGCTATTTTCGTCAGTAATCTCCAAGTAGTCGTACCTAAATAACACAGATTTCAGTCATACGACACCAGTAAGTTTCTTGACGGACCCATTGAAACAACTACATAGCCACATTTGGTAAGACGTTTGCCTTTTCTGTAAAAAACAATTTGACGTCAGTTTTTTTTATGCGTCTGTCCCCTTATTGATGATCAATTTCGTCATAACACTGTCAAAGTTTACTGCGGAACCACGCATTGCAGTTTTGCACACGCAATGAATGCTATAAAAAGCTTCTGCGACCCTATTCTTTAACATAAGTATAATTTAGCAGTAGCTGCGTCTACTTACGAGCAAAAATCTTCATATTCCATTTTGAAATCGTCAAAGTAAATATTCAGGGCCATTCCATGTGGAATAGGAACCGTATAATTGCACTGCATACTGCTTGGGTACCTGTTCGGATATTCAGGACTTCTCAAAGAGTTGTCTACCACCGAGCCGCACACTATTAGAGAAACAATGGCAATGAACTTCAGGAACATTTTGATAGGAGTTCAAGTAAATACTGATACCTAATTTTGATTAATTCCCAACCTGTAAAGGTGAGCTACCTACAAAAGCTTGGGTACACACACTTCGGTAGGGGAAAAGGTAATCTTAGTGCTTTTATCGATGCAAAATATCGCAATGAAAATCGTACCATCCTGGTTATACCCCCAACCTCTAAAATGACATCGCCAGATGTCAGACGCAAACCACCATCCCTTTTTTCCTCCTCGAACTTAAATACGTCTGTTGTCCTAACAATGCACGATTGCTAGAAATATTAGGGAAAGTCAGGTCTATAGCTTCCAATACTGTTATTGCATCAATTCCGTTAAATTGCGTTGCTGTTTAAAAAACTGTTAGAGAGAACTGTATATAAATTAAAGCTGTACCGCCAGGCGATGATAGAAAGAAAGAAAAAAAAAAAAACAAACATGTGTCTACTCACCTGGTAATCCATAGATGCCTTCTTCAAAGTTCCACATGAAAATAGACAGTACGAAAAGCATCTTGAAGGTACGGGTGGGCGTAAGTTCGTGCATTCTAGTACTGAAACCCAACCATTCCTGCGAAAAGACTGAATTATTTATTTCTCTTTTCTCTTTTTTTTTTTTTTTTTTTTGTTTCTGTTTGTCACAGAGACAGGAGAACGATTCATATCACGATGACGTTAAACCCTTACCTTTGAAATCAATCAGATTTTAATCAATGTCATGAGAAAACTGTTTTCCCCTAATAAGACCTGCACGCATTAATTTTTGGCCGTTCCTCTTGTATTTATAACAAGAATTTATACAGTCATCAAAATCACGTCACAACAAAAAAGGTGTTTCATGCTTTACTAGATGGTCACTAGCTTTTGTCATCCCTTAGTTGCCAGAAACAGAATTGAAGTCAACATGGTATGCTGAAATCGTTTATGTTTTTTCTTTAATTTATCCACCGCTTCCACCAGCTAGAAAAAGTTCCTTCAATTTTTTGGAGCAATCGATGAATTTATGTTTTCCTTAAAAAAAAGGAACAAAAAATTAACCAACCCAAGAAAAGTTACGTAGCCAAGGAATCACTTAAGGAAAAGCTTGCTGATTACAACGAAATTACTTTCTGGGTTGCTAAGGCTTTAAACTGCTCCTTCCTCTTACTTTTCTCAATCATAAGAGGTGCTGGATTGCCACTCGACGACCTGAAGAAACAATCATGAGCACGGAACGAAATTGGCTTTCGTACCTTTTGAATGCGCTAAGACAAATAAAACTCTCGATCAACTGTGGAGTTCAGAGTGCTCCATTTTCACTTAAATGATTGAGAACGTCTTTTTCACATTTGGGCGAACAGTCATATTAATCCCGCAACTACAACTAAATTTTTTTGTTGTTGTTCCAGCTAGCAACAGATATTCAATACGCGCAAAAAAAACCGCATCAATCGCGAAATATTCTGTTTTAAGAATCTTCCTGAAAAAGCAATTCTTATTAAATAATTAAAGAACTCTCTGAAGAGCTAAAGATCCTCGAAATTATACGTATTAAAAACTATGCACAAGGGATACAACTTACTAGGTGTGCCGGATGATGAAAGTGCCTGGAGAAGAGAGTAGCCCGTCTTGATTAACATTCCGCGCAAAGTTTTCAAGAGCGCGACCGCTAACCGCTTACCACTTACTCGCTGTGGGATGCCTCGCTCTCTAACCGAAAGAAAAATAATGACTATGCTAATCTTCGCTGTCTTTTAAAGACCTGCGAGTACTAAGAGTATAAAATGCTTTGTTCTATTATTATTCGATTCCACGAACTACCACTCTGTCTAAGGTATTGTTTCATTTACAAAGAAAATATACTTACGATTCATGTTTTTAACAGCGTTTCCCCGTGCCCGGCATGAAGAACACTCCACACACCGACAATAACAATGTTTTGCCGCGCCAGGCGTGAAAAATAGATTTTTCATAGCAAGCATGGAAAATGACTTCACATGCTGGGCATGAATAGCCCTTTTCATGGCAATTGTGTGGTTTCTGTCCGAAATTACCTCGCGTCCAGTTGGTTTACATCATAATGCAAATGAGAAGAGCTCACAGATAAAAAGGCTATTGAAATAAACAATTAGATGCCAGCTTTTATTGCGCCCCTTCTCCTGTTATCCTATTGCGTTTTAACATTGTCAAAGTATCTGTGGCTCCGCAGACTACATATGCGTCCGTTCTCTTGCGGATCATAAAAATTAGCTCATGAGCGAACGAGAAGTTTTAAATTTACGGTTAAAAATTTTTTTATGCCCGGAATGAAATATTTCAAATGGACCCAGGCTATTTCTTGTCTATTGTCCATGCCCTCTCGTAAAATGGAAGATATGAGGATTTTGCATCCAGACTGTACCACATGTTTTTACCAGATCCAATATTTCACAATAAATACGTGTTTTGCTTACAGATAACAAACCTGATCCAAAATAGGCAACGCCCGGGTTGAAGAAAAGTGAATTTCCGTTAAAATAAACCTCAGCTATGGAGACTAATGTCTTCCATCTTACTACAAAATGAGTGGTACGTTGTCCACTGATGGGACAAGAATGCCAGGGATGGTGCCACAATACCTGCCGCTGTTGTAACCACCTTGGATGGCATTAATTCTTGATTTCTAGTTTTTTAAGTAGTTTTCGGACTTCATTAGTGCTTCAACTTTAAAAAGGAGAAAGTTTTGTTTGTTGCAGTGAAGTAAATTTCTGAAACACTACCAGTCAAGTTATGTCCAATGTGTGAGATATAACGAACTTCCGCCTTTTCAGATACAGAGCATATTTTTATATCCTCGATTTCAATATGTGCAATAACTTTCTTATGTTGACGAGAGCTCAGCTCATTAATTAGCAGCCAAGTTTTTCGGGGATCTTTTTTGTTCGTAGCAAGGTTATCGCTTAAGTATTTGCGTTTGGCATATTTAATTGACTTGCTTTCATTTCTCGCCGCTTTGAAATTAAATCAGCCCAGCAAGACTGATCTGTAGTTCGTTCCGCCTTCTTTTTCAGGAAATCCCTTTTACTCATTTTAGGTATTAACTGGGATTTCTTGTCCCCAATTCTTTTCGTTTTAATAGGGGCTTGTTTAGCAATTTAAGGTCAGAAACTGATCTTTCCAAAACTCCTACATTTCGTTAAGGTTAGGTAGGGGTCGCACTAACAGGATCGATGTTTACATTAACATTGGACATAAATTCTGTCATCGCATACTCGCGACATGTGCGCCCTTATAGTCCATGGGCCAGACCACTTTTCGGTACCAAACCTAAGGACAAAACCTAAGTGTTATCAGCTGATACTACTGCATGAGTTGTTTTCAAATTTGTATGATAACCCTTCTGAATGAGTAGCTTTGTGTGAGATTTCTTAATTTAAAATTTCGCAAAAAATAGCTTCAGCATGGAAACGAGGCTCCGGAGAAGATCCTCTAAACATATGGTCACGATCGTTTTATCAGTACTTTAGATATTTGAAAAAAAGGGAAAACATTTTTATTTCCCCTCGAAGTTGTTAGAAGTAGAAATTTGTGTCAGGATTACACGAAAAACTAAAAAACAACCATCGGTGTCATTCACATTGCATCATAGGTAAATCCAAG